ATGGCTGAGAGATATTACCGCCACGAAGCTTCTAAACGCTTTTATTGCTCCGCCGCTGTCGGTAAACCATTAACTATTAATAATCTATTTGCGTCATTGTTCGTAAATAATACAATGAGACGTTCCTTGTTATTTTGATCCTCATACCTTGCTACATGAAACGACGATTCTCAAACATAATAATGCACCTTTAAAGTGCACATCGATCGTTAACTTCGGCAACTTGTATTGAAGCTAAAGCTAGTCACAGATATGTGCAATCGTAAAGGTACGTAGGCGTAAAAGAAAGTGATTTCTTAGCGATTAGAGCACACTCGTACTTGCTCGCGATATGTGTCCGAATTAAATAGTTATACCACTAAAATTCATGATTATTATATGTGCATTTTCTGTTAGGCAATCATTACATGTGTTTTATGAAAAAACGTAACTCCAATTGCGCTCATCCGTTACTCCGTCTGTAAAACGCACTGACAGACATACATATATAGGCATAGATAACGTATGCGTATTTCAATAATATTCCCCTAACAGCTGCCGTTGTGTGAGAAAGGAGTACGCTCTCGGGGCAGAAAAGAAGTTCGAAACAATTATCCAGACCAGACCAGACCAGACCTGACGGACGGAGAACGAATGTTCAGCGTTCAGCCGTGAGCTGAAGCACGAAGCGCGGGCTCTTAAAGAGGGAGGCAAAGAGGGCGAAGGCACGGCAACAAAAATGATTCGGCTCCGAGTCCGACCGGAGCGCGGAGGCTTGAACTTCTTACATGAGTTCCCGCCAGTATTTACGATCGTGTCGACGAGACGCTCGTTGAGCGGAGATCCGCGCCGATTCGAGAACAAGAGATCCTCGGATTCGGCGAACACGCGGGCGAACGGCCATCGGCGATGCGGGAAGAAACGATCAATGCGATCAAAGAGCGATCAAAGTGTGTGCGCGGGAGCCGCGCACCAAAATTCTCTCTCGATCGCAACCGCAGAATCGAGTCCCGTCGCGACATCAGCTGCCAATCTTCGACCGCATTTGTTCACTTCTTTTACGTTCGGTCGGCACACACGCTCCATTCATGATCGAATTTCATGATCGTTACAAATCTCGCACGAGTATCATATTAACGCACGGAAAATAGATAAAAGGTGTCTTAAATATTAATGTACTGATATTTAATATTCAATATAATCGTTCACAATTACAATGTGAAAAATTAAGTGATAAACGCAACTAATAAAAATAAATAATAAAATTTAATAACGAACATGTTTGTGTATTAATAGCTGTTTGTTGATTAATATTTTGATCAATATCTAAAATATTGGAACGTAATAATTCTGGAATAAAATAAAAACGATAATAAATCTCGTCTATAATTACTATACGAAGAGAATCTAAAATTTAAAATAATCCTTGTATTTTCTGGATTATGTTATAAAATCGTAATTTATTCAAAGCGTTTTCGTATATATTGTATAATATGTACAATAATACTAAAATAATAGATTATTTCTTTTGTAACTCAATAATTATTTGAATCATATTATGTAATATAAAAATACTTATAACATACTAAAAATAAATATAGTATATATTGTGTATATTACACACACTTTCCGTTTTTATGCGATCACGTCATCATGTAACCAGATTTTTTTTTTATATTTTACACGACAAAAGGAGATCGGATATAAGTCGAACCTATTTACAATGAAATTGATCCCATAAGTTTTTATAGTGGTAATTGACTTTTAATCGGTTCCAATAAGCGGCTATGAAAGTACGTTCCGCGAGAATGAAGCGATAAAGTGGGCCGGCACCCATTCCAGATCAACATCTTCGTCATTACCGTCATCACCCCTACCACCGCTGACCATCATTATTATCATTATTTTCCTCATTATCCTCATCATCATCATCGTTATCAATTGATGCATTATCCGCTGCTGTAAGGTATCTTTTCTTGTCAATCCGATAAATCGCAGTCTCATAATTAAGCGACATGATCAAAAAGTAATGTAACATCAGTTTTTATAATGATAAAACATTCCAACTTTTATAGTTGATACCTCTCGCAAGAATAAATCTAAAGTTTTGAAGGAAAATCTCAAATATTACGGGCAACCTCTTAGCTTTTATTTCAATCTCGAATACAATCGAAGCAATCTAATTTTCAGCTCACATCGTGAACAATAGAATTGAGACAATAGAAGAGAACAGACATTAAAAATTTCATTATTTTATTCATATTAAAGCGTAAATATGTGAATATGAAATATTGTAATGGAATAATGGAATGGATAATGGAATGTATAAAACATTTTTCTCATCTAAGACACAGAGGTTCAATAAAAATATACATCAGATCTGATTCTAGTTCCTGGAAACGATCAAAGCTAATTAGATCTACATTTTTTCAGATAGATATCTTTAATCCCTTTCGTCTGATCTCTTTGCGAATCAATCGTTTTCTGACGTCATTGAGTCAACAGAAGAAAAAGGAAATCGATGGATGTACGCGTAGATATCCCAGATCCTCAAGCTCATGTTCCGGGAGTATGGAAGACGTTGGATGCCATGGGTTCTCTCAACAATCAGAAACCTGTTTCCAGAGTGAAACCTCTCCGGCTGAAACCTCTTTACTGTTCGTTCCTTCTTTTCTTCCTCGTCGTCTTCCTTTTCCTCTCGCTTTCGCCCTTCGTTCCACCCCCTTCTCCAGACGAGGAGGTTAGATGAGGATCGCCCCGCGTTCATCAATCATCCATTGAAACGTAACCCGTGGCGTTCTATAATTAACGACCTCGCTACAAACTTCGAAGAGGTCCCACGCCCAAACGAAATCTGGCCCGCTGAATGTATCCCTCCACTTTGAGATACGTGCCAGATTGACGCGAAACCGAAGACCAGATTCTCTTACCCCGATCTTTTTTATCTGTTACAAACTTACAAACGCCTCCTCGCGGTACATTTACGCGTGTACTTTTTTTTATTTCTCCAGTTTTGATGCAAATATCGAATATCCGTCGTCGACGATATATTTTTATTGGTTAAAGAGTGATGCGGAACCCTGAAAATCGACGCTATTTATAAGTGTTGAACAATTCCAACAATAACAAAAGCGTGACGAGTTACGAAACGTATTTGCGTTCGGGCATAACATATATACACGCAATAAAATAAAGCTATGGCTCAAATGTTGTGCCGCGCGTCTTTAAATATAAAGATTATTGCATTATATACCTTGGAAAAAATTGCGCAATTCATAAAATGCTATTTAAAAATTTATAGTGAGATGTGCTAAATAATATGTACTACGTTCTCAAATTATCTGTCTCTCCAAATTCGTGTGTCATTGCGCATCAGCGTGATTCACTACCAATGGTTACATTATGCAAATAATATTTCATCAGCTGAACGTAAGTGAAATTGCCATTTATAATAGTCGTTTCGCGTAGCAATCTGCCGATGCTAACGTAACGCGTGTCACATACATTCTCGTAGAGGAGAAAATATTGGTCATGATAAACTTTATCGGCCACGATAATCTTTATAAACTGCCGATAGTTTAATATTTATCTGGTCAGGTTTGGTGAAGAGGTATTCATAGCAGATAAATTAAAATGTTTCTCGATCGGGTGAATTATGTGAAAAAGGTTCCCCGATCAGATTCAACTCAGATATAAACACGCTTTCAATAACTTAAAGCCAGTTTCGCATGATTGACTAACCGAAACGCTAATTTAAAGCAATCGCCATAATGTTAAAAGTAGTAAAATTTGTGACTGCAGGGTACGCGGTTGGAAATGCATGGCGCCATGTCGGAATGTGAATTTACTGTGTGTAAAGAGGATTGAATCCTCTTTAGATTGCAGCAATGTCGCTTCTGGAAGTGCTCGAGCTGCTACAAAGAAATTAAAGAGAATGTTTGTAAGCGCATTAGTTAGACGTGCAAATGCTTGACCGAATTGGAAGGTGAACCGCGAGACCGCGAGATGTGTGATAAAATAGCATCACATGTGGCAACTGAGTTTTTCGAATATAATAAAGTCAAAATGACCATATAATTTATTAAATATGAGAAATGGACATGACACAAGTCTCATGCATTAGAATGAAGCAATATAGTATAAATTGGAATGTTTTTTTTAATGTAATATATAGAGTTTTTCCTAATTGCGTTCTATGTATTTCAAATAGATCATATTTAATTGTATGATTGACTGCGCACATGAATTAAAAGAATTTTAATAGGACTCACGAGACTTGAAATCAGCCTGTCGAATTACCAAATCGCCGCGGCGAGGCTGATTAACGATCACGGACTCATTCCGGATTTGCCGGACTTAATCGTATTAAGTCTGACGTTGGGAAATCTACAATAACAAATTGACCACGAGGTTTATGCACTTTCACCAATGGCAATGCGCTCTCCAATCCTCTTCGCAGCCCTTTTCCTATAATCCGTTAATCATTATCATCGTACATGGAACTGCGAGACAAGAGGCGGGATATATTATGAAACCGGTAACCGGGTAATTTCATGAAAACTGGTCGGACGGGTTAAAAACCGGCCCGGTTGACGATCTCGGACTAAACAGGCGCCAAACTGGATTGGACTTGTTACTCTCTCAGAAAACGAAATCTCATCGACGTTGAATTAAAAATTTCATAATGGTAGTCGGACCTAGAGCGCAAAGACATATCTATTTTTCATCTTTGTTAAGCCAAATAATGTCCTTAAAAAAGCTGTAACACTGTTGTGGCGAATTAATTTAACGAATTATTTTCATTCCAGGTGATAATATAGTAACTACTAGCTCAAACAAAAGTCTTCATTGCTTTAATATATTGCTATAAGTAAAATGTATAAATATATAATAATACTATTCGAATTTACGTTCATTACAAAATTATTTATTGAAATAATTTCATAAGAATTTTTGCACACTATATACCATGAACAAAGAAAAAAACAGTGATGGTGAAAAGACAATTTCTTTTAGGTCTAAAGGGGTCGCGAAAATCGAGCGGGTGGATAAACGCGCGGCATTGTGTTCGCTTCATCGACTGACCGATATTTGCCCAGAGTCACTCTGAAAGTATGGATTAACGATCCGTAGGGTGGACCGAAGGGTAGACCAGAAGAGATTACTAAGCGAAGGCTAAGCGCGTGATGCAGGTGGTCGCAAGGGGAACCGCTGGAAAGAAAGGACAGAGATGATGATTCCACTTCAGAAACGGACGAAAGCTTCCAACAGTATAGTGGTGAGTTAAGAGGGCCTAGAAAGCATCGACTGTTCTGCTTGAGACCGCCGTTATATCTCTGAAAGCGGGAGTACATTCTAATTCGATCGGTTTAGATATGAATCTACAGGGTGTTCTCGCTACGATCTGTAATTGCAGACATTGTTCTGGCATTATAATGCCAGAATATAACAGTTTCAGCGTTTCTATTCGTATACATTTGTCTTCCTTAGTAATTGTACAATTACTAATAAAAGGTTTCATATACTGTCTATACGTAATTATATACATGAAAAATGTTTGGCTTTTATTTAAATTTTTATTTTACTTTATTCTCAAGAACAGAGATGTATTTCTACTTACAGCAACTTTATGCAAATAATAATTTTACAAAAAAGAAATATTTTCAATATCGGTTTTAGTAATTTTGTTATCTTAATTAGCAAGTGCTGAACTATCGTAGAACAATATTGATAATAATAACAACTTGCATTTGAATGCGTTACTAAAAAATTGTGAATGAATGTCACAGTATGAAGTAAAACACCCGATATGTCGTGAGGATAAAGGCATCAAAGAAAATCAAAGCCTGCAGGTATTACGCCATAAATCGGGTATGAGATGTTTGAAGGAACGATTGTTTCGGATCGATTCTTCTTCAGGGCTTCGAGTGTCGAAATGAAACTCTTGATGTCTGATCGATTCTACCATGAAGCATCAGCTCGTCGTTCCTTTCAAACTACTCCACAATAGTATAATAGAAGCTATTCATGTTGAAAAGTCCGTTTGCGATTCTTACATTCTTAAATCCTTAATTTTGCCTTAAGTCTTGCCTCTCTCGAATTTGAATACTTTGTACGCACTTGATTATGTTTTTTGTCAATTTTTCCTTTTTCACATATACTAATCGATAATAATCATTATAGCTAATATCTATAACTTATATAAAGTATATAAGAAAAAGCATATTTTTTATTTTTGTTTAACGGACAAAAGAAATAAAAATTGTATTTTGTCACAGAAATTAAAATAACAGAGATTGAATAGATAATAACAAATTACCGGATAATATTATTAAAATAAAAACAAAGACAAAATTATACTTTTCCTGAATAATTTGATTCCAGACACTGACGAAGAATATCAGATCCATCATCATATAGCGGAGTAATTAATAAAAAAAAGTAGTTTACATATCGTACTGGAAAAACAGCATTTACGCAAGAAATTGAAGAGTAAACACATTAAAAGAAACAAGTCGAAGTAGATGGCTGCAGATAGGCAGTTAAGATTGACGAAGACATGCATGCGCAAAGACAAAGGTATTTCTATGTCAGCCCTTTTCACACTCTATATTTATCTTTCTTTTTTTTTTAAAGCAAGACGCTTTCAGAAATATTTTCATAAAAAAAATTGTAATTGCTTTACAGCAGGAGAGATAGAAATCAATCCTGGTCCGTTTTGGAGGAATGACAGGAATGCGCGGAATTGCATAGTATTTGACATTATCCGTAACTCTATCGCCTCTTTAACGAAGTCGATGTCATTACATTTATATGTCGAATAGCTATATCATTTTTTTTTATTTTATGACGAAATGTATTTTTCGATAGACTTTTAGTCCGGACGGACAGTACAGGTTCGTAATGTAAAAACATTACAATAAAAAAATATCTTTTATTCTTTCATAATTGCTCATCATATGCGCAAATCGTGTACAAATCGTGTGTGTGAATAAATCCAGATATAGAGGTGGAACAACGGATGGATAATTATATACGGAGAATAGATATATTAATCAAAGCATATTATTTGTTATACAATAATACCGAGCCATCTACGTGCATAAATATCAGAAATAACAAACGGCAATGAAACGTAGATAAAATTAACAAGCATGAATATCTATCGTTCCGATTTCGTTTCATTTCATACACGCTGCAAATGAATAATGCGCGCCGTGAAAATTGTCCAATGGGTAACGTGGCTTACAAATCCTCTTAAAATGCATTATATAAATCGAAATCCATTTTTCAGGCAAAACATATTTTTCGAGCGCGGCTATTCAAAGCGATTCTCTGAGCCATTTATATGCATACATTCGTCGATCGCAAATAACGCCGCGACGCAGCCCCGTGTACCCGCAAATATCCCCCTCGCACCGAACACGATATAAACAGGTAGACAGGGTTGTAGGAAAAGAGCACAGAGAAGAAAGAGGAGAAAACGATCCAATAGTCACGACCCTTCCCGATCGATTAATATCACTGCAATAAACGTCATTGCACATCGAAAAGGGGTGGTTCGCCCCACGGCAAACGCGATTCTCGTGTCGAAAAATATATACCTCTCTATTTTACAAAACACGCAACAGCACACGTAACCCTTTAGTCGCGCGGCTCCGACTGCGTTCTTCTTTTGTGACGAGAAAAGCTAAACGATGGAGGATCCAACTGTGTTACTTGTCATATGTGAGCAAATCAGCGAATAAAATAAGTCAACTTTTCACGTACTTATAATGTATCTAAAAAAAAATTCGAAAACTGAACTATCACGAAAGTCAGAGATTAAATCAGATTAGAGATTTCAATTTCATGAAATTTAATCGTTGCGTAGGCAGACATTCTAACATTCATTGCTGCTATAAATACTTCGATCGTTATTAATCTCACGACTGCATCGGCTTCGACAAGCGTTACAAAATCTCTCTAGGTTCCTAACATTCTTCAGTTTTTAATACTTTGATTATTAGCAGCGATTTTCTCCAAGAACATGGGGGACTAAAATATCACCCGCTCAGTTTTCTCGTAACACGCACATATTATATGCGAAGGGACACACACAATAGAAACGTTCACGTACGTTGCTCGCGTGGATGTAAAGTACTCCATGGGTATCGATGGCGTATCGATGGATCCCCATTGTGATCAGCCAGGGAGCAACGAAAGGGGGATCTCGATAGCCTGGCGCGTATAGAGCAGGTAACACGTCGCTGAGGTAGGATTGTGCCCCGACAGCGATTGATACGATTCGAGTCGAAATCTCGCGGTCCATTGTCGGTTTGCTTTTTGCCGCCTCTTATATGCGCGACTTCGATTGTGTACCACCGACCGCATTCATCCACGAGTGGAAAGGCGATTTCTCATCCGCGTAACGGGGTAACGGCGGAGTACAATGCGGCCGGCGAAATAATAAAGGGCGCACCGCGGTAGGAAGGAAAACGGTGAAGGAGGGAAAACTCTCGCCGACGAATATAAATCAGCGAAAACGCATTTTGCGTGCACGCGCCTCGCGTGTGACGCTCGTTAAACGCCGAAGTCGCGAGATGTTCGCATCTTGAAAAAAATTGACTTTTTTTAATCACTAACATGGATCGCAATTAATACATTTCAATGCATAAATCGGTAACAAGGGATCAGAGATCTTGTTTGGATCATAACTCAAACTTTTACTTTTCGTTCATTAACGTACGTAATGGTACGTGAGAGAGAAATTGCAAAATCGATCGATAATTTCACATCACGACGCCGACGCTTCTAAAAATGAAAATTAAAAAACGCTCAAGGATATGTATAAAGGATATGCAATGACATGCTTGATTACTCTCTACTTTCGCCATGTAAACAGCAAGATTGATGTTGTTAACCTACGACGTATTAAATTTTCTTTTGGATCATTGTGAATTGACTTTACAATTTCGACATAAATAACGCTCTATTCGTCCGGTGTGTAAAAATGTACACGATCAATAATGACATTTTTGAAATCGATCAAATTAACGTGTGTTACTGCTTGTAGCACAGTCATTTGTATATCGTACTAAATTAAAAGCTGACGTTAATAACGATGTATGTACGATTGCAATAATTCATATTTTTTGGAATAAGCAAATGGCTTCGGCGGTAATGGCGCCAGAGTTGAATATTTCACATTATCGAACATCCTATAGACGGTATTATTGACAGATGATAACGGCATTTCGACATTATTCAAATCGACATCTTCGCTGCTTGCTAGTTTGGTGAATTAGAAAGTATCAATGGTGCCGTTTGACCGCGAGACTTAGCTATTTAATCTTTCAAAGGATTTACGGAGTCACGCTGTTAAATACGTAATTGGAGGACTAGTAAACTACGGACGTTTTCTATGATTAATAGCGACATATCACGAAAAACTTATAATTATATTATTATTATACTACATTATATGTAAATTCTGTATTGCAAATAAAATATATGTTTCCGATCATTTAGTTATTGTTAACTTCAATTGAATGAATACGGATACACATGTGCAAACTTGCGCAATGAAATGCGGAATTAAATTGAAAAAGAAAAAACTAAATAAATTAGAAGTTAAAAACTAAAGTTTTCATCTATCAGTGTATTTAACTATACACGCGCCTTTTCATTCAGAAATAATATAAATATAGAATATAGAAATGCCATAATAAAATAACTAGATTATAATTGTTGGAGATTTTACAGCAAGGTAGAATTTCGTGGAGAATTGAGTCGTTATCGAACAACATGTACGCCAATGTTGGCGTCGGGATGACCCCTGGTGCTCATCACTATCTCTCTCTCTTCCTCTCTCCCTTCTCCCCCTGCTTCTCTCTCTCTCTCTCTCTCTCTTTCTCTCAGCCTATCAGCCTGCCTCGCTCTTTGCATCGTCAAACGATCTGTCGATAGAGGCAATTAATGCGACTAGCTTTGATTATCCCCACTGCTCATACAGACAGCGACTTCACATAGCCGTGCAAATAAAGCAGTTTATTTATACGCATGCAATTAGGTTGGACATACACCGGACGCATCTGCGCGTCTAGTTAAAACTCAAGTGTATCAAGCGCAGTTACTTATACACATCTGCTAGAAATACAGTCTATAGCTTTGCGATAACATTAACAGAGATGCACACATCACGCTTGTGCCGTTACGTCAACGAACTATTTGGTTTTTTTAATCAAACTTTTACTTCCTATTTTTTTCTTTAAAGAATTTGCAAATGACAAGCTTTATTATGTGGCCGTAATATACGCGCGTTTCTACTCTAGTAATTTTATTATTAATTAATTGTTAAATTAGTCATATGAGAGATAATAATTAATTAAGTTCATATACGAGTAAATGTACGAGTTTTGTATAAAGTTTATATTTTAATAAAAAATTATATTTATACTTAGTGGTTATTTAAAACAGTATTTCATAAGCATTTTTCACAAATGGTCTGTCCATAAATATAATTAATATTTATTGAGCTGTACATTGTTCAGATCACCATTTAATTATAACTTTATAAACGATTATTTCAATTGCAGTTTATGCAATTAACACAGTACTCACTATTCAAAGCAAAAAATTAAAAACTAATATAATAATAATTTTTAGCTTCATTTGTCGCCCTTTCGCAATTGTTTCTTAACGTTTTACGTATAATGAATGGTATTTTTAATGCGACGTCATTGAATAGCTTTATAGCAAAGTTTATTAATGTCTGCTCGTATATAAAAATAGCAAATTACTATGGAATTCGTATGACGTAATTGTATCTTGTAATGGAACAAGCAAAGATATGAAGCTTTAAATTTTCTTTCGATTTATATGCTATCTATGACAATTGTGCTATAAGAACTCCCTAATTACTCATTAGAGGGGTTGCCAGCTTCTCTCGATAAAATAATTATGATGACCTAACGATTAGTTCGAGCGTATAGAAACGTTCTTGAACTGTTTCGAGATATATTCTAGAAATATCTTTGCCGTTTAATTACCATGCACGGCGCCGCATATAGCTTCATTAGTAAGTCGTGAGCCATAGTTCACGTTCTTACGAACCACCATTCATAGTCACCTTCGTGACTACGCTATAAGCGCGCGCGACGGCGTTGATAATCACCATCGCTTACTAATTAACACGCGAGAGCAAGAATTATCTGCTCGAAACGATAGTCTACCTTCGAGATTGCGCATTGACGCTGTTTCACAGCGTCAAGGAGGATTTTCGATCGAGCGATCGCTGAAATATCGGTATGAAATCGCAATAGCAATGGGACCAAGTTCAATAGTGCTTGACATCTCCTTGCGTTTCATGTATATAATGTACGGTATATTATAGCCTTTGAGCTGGTGGCGCGGATACCTAGACCATCATCGTCGAATGTTCAGTAGCATTTATAAATACATAATTACAGTGATTGAAGCTGAAAAGTTCATAGGCACGCTTCAATTAATAATCAAGTATCAATGATTATTATTCTTACTTGCATTTCGTATGACCATGCTTGCAATTAAGCATTTTTTTTATTTATATTTTGATACAAGTGTCAATTCGAAAAATTGAAATTATTAAGTAAAGCACTTTAATTAGAATTGATTTTAGAAGATTTAGTAAGAATTAAAGTTTTTATTTTATTTCTGATGAGATTATTTCTGATGTACAAACAATATACAAATTTAATTAGCATTACATAAATTATATAACTCTATAGAAAAGATAAAATATAAAATAAATAAATATCAGATCAGTCAGAGGAAAATTTATACGGAATTTTATATACATACAAGGAAACAAAGCTCGATTTTTCAAATAATCTCTCTCTCTTTTTCATGTAAATATATTAATATTTTTTCAGATATTAAAAAAGAATACATTCAGCAAAATATCAAGCAAATTTTAACTTTTATTTAAAAAATTATTAATAGCATTTATATACATCATATATACATATAGTGTATGTTACGTGGATTTTCGTATTTCCACAAAAAAGCGTAGAAAATTAAATAAAAAATTCTCTCTTACAAAAATTATCAAGCATGCCTCGTAATAAACACGTTACCGAAACAGGATGACATGATAATCTTTCACCCTTTTCGACAGTGGTGATGGACAATTATAATACGGGATAGGACCAAGCTTCCTCGCTTCAACGGCGCCGACTGATATCAAATTTCAGGTCCGCACGAGATCGGCGGTCGAGAAGAAGAACGGCACGGCGGCAATCGGGAGGAAGTCGTGCAAAGGCACGCACCACGCGCGTGTGGTCCATCAATCATGTTGTTCCCGGCGACAGGTGGACACTGGGGTCGATGGAGACCCCACATAATTGGGAGAATAGTGCCGGTTTGCTGGTCGACCGGGCACACGGTCATTTATCTTGTCGCGATCGAGCGCCTATCGACGGTTCGGCCCGATTCGAGTTAACGCCCGTGAAATCGCGTGTCGCCCGTTTGGGAAAATCAGCCTCGTTCGATCTCTCTCGGGGCTCTATACAACGCTGGCGCCCATGATCGATACCGCGTCGCCGCGCCGTTTTGGCGTAGCGCCGCAGCTCCACCGTGTACCCCGTAATTGGAAGCAAATACAGATATCATTGAAATCATCCTGGCGCGCACGAATATTCGTTCAAAATATTTATTTACGGAGTATCGATTGTTGCTGATGCGCAGCTGCATGGTTGCTTCAAACATTTCTCCATTTCTTTTAAACGTTTACATGTTTTTGACAACACAGAATTTTTTAATGCTTTATTTCGTCATTTCAAATTTATTATCACAAATTGTCCTTATACATAAATATATTGTTACAAAGAGAAAAAAACGAATTATTAGGTTGTATAATAGCTATGGCTCTAATTACATTTTAATGTATCTTAATATATTGATAACATGATAAAAAAACCGAACGAATTAATAACCGAACGAATTAATAA